TCCTGTATTCTAACAACAAATCAAATTAAATTATATAGATAAGTAATTAGAATTTCGATTCTTCTATAAAAAGTTAACTGTTTGTATTCATGTTTCTAAATATATTTCCTTGTCATTCGTAGATCTCTTTCCCAACTGGACCTATTTGGGAAGTATGTAGAAGAAATTACATAAGCTAAGCCATTTTTTTGGTAGCCGTTAACAACAACCGTCAACATTCACGGAGATCTACAAGTCATTATGTCACCAAATCTAGAACCATTTTTCAACATGCATAGTCAGACATGAAAGCTTCCTCATAACCCCCCCTGCCAAAAAGAATATTCTGTCTATTGCCCTCTACAGTAACAACAATAATAAATATTTTTTCTGGCGATCTGGTTCGATTTATTATTTAGCCTTTTAACCGAAATAATAATTATTTATTTTTTGAAAAAAAAAAATGTTTGATAATATCTCTTGTCTATTCTCGCTTGTTGGTAGGCAATTTCTTGAATAGTTGTTGACATGAAGAAGGAATTGACGCTAAGATCATTGGTTGAGATGAAACACACGTAAGTAACTCAACGAAGAATTTTAGTTTATTGCATGATTATGTTTCTCCAATCTTTAAATGCTGTGAACAATAATTATGTAGATAATGTAATCTAGCGTATATTAGACTTTTGAATAACTGGTTTCCGTTATAAGTTATAAGCAGTTCCAGTCAAATTAAGTAGATCTTGCGAAATGGCAACTTTTTCATACAATAGGTAGATCGAAGTTTATTTCGTCACAACAATTTCGTCTATAGAGAGTGTTATTCTTCCACTATTTAGTTTGATTACTTATCCTAAGCGACCAATACGCGTGGATGTATAGTTTAGAAGACGGTCAGATACACGTGTAGGTTGTTTTTGCAATTTTCAATGTTGACGGGGAATTGGTACGTAAGTTCATAGTGTCGAAAAGCTTTGTGGTAGCTGCAAGAAAAAAAAAGGCTTTCATTCGGCTAGGAAAGCGAGAGGAAACTAGTATCTAAGACGATTTCAAATTTCTTTCGTTGAAATGGACTTGTTAAGGAACTCTCGTGGAAATAGCTTTCAAGAAAAATTCTCCTTAAATGAACCGAATTGTTTTTTTTGCAGCCATCGATGACTTAGCCGTCTCTTTTTTTTTTTTTTCATATTCGGAAGAACGATTTCTAAAACCACATCGAAGATAAATTTCTATCATTGAGTTATTGTGGGTTGACCAATTTTCCACTATATCAAATGAATATTATCTTGAATTAAGGTATTACTTGTTTACTTTGACCATTATTTTTGTGCGAGCCCGGTGATCCATTTTAGAAATCCAACGAAAACTTACACCCATACTGCAAACAAATCGAGAAGATTCCTACAACTGTTTAATTGAACACTATTCAACCAAGTCAGATAATCAACATAGAATACCGTGATTTAATTTGTTCTGTCATCTCAACGAAGTCATTCATGGACTGATAAATTGATGATGATGAGGACATCCCTACATGTGATAATTGGCTGATCATTGCATGTGACACAAATTCAGATTTTTATTAAATATTTGCCTAGATTTCAATTTTGTGGTGTTTTTAATATATCTGATTATTTGACATCACTTTATGAAGCGGCATGAGCCACAGCAAATGACGATGGAGGAGGGATTGATCACATAGAGAAGTGATGGAGAGATGTTTTACAGTACAACCAGGTGTCTATAAATAGCAGGTATCACTAGTTGATGGGTGGGGGTGGTTGATTCTGAAAAATATAGCAGAAGATTCAAAATATTTAAGGTTGGGTGATCTTCTCCTAATCTTAACTATAATTAGAAACTTTCGGTGTTTGTTGATCAACTTTATTATAAGCACATACACCGAAGCAATGGCCTTTCGTATATTCTCGATGATCACCGGCAGTATTCAATGTATAGGCTAGATCAACCTTTTCAAGCCAATGAAATAACCTAGAAGGAAGAGAAGAGTAGTTCATGCAACATTTACAATCGAAACCTATATGGAATGAAATCGAATGATGAAAATCGAATGTCATCATCTCAGTGTGCGTACTTTGTTACTCCACTCTTGAATAATCCTCTAAATTGGGTACCAGTTAGTGTTAGGAATATACGCTATGTTTTTGTAAAAAAAAAAAAAAAATAGATTATTGTGGAGAAAAACTTTAGTTGATTCTCAGCCGCACTTTGCTGATCGTATTTACAAACCAGCCGTTTTCTTTCTTCTTGACAACAGTCTATTGTTAACTCGCGATTGCAACGTTTCTTATCGTATCCGCATGTTCCCAGTGATCTGATATATCTGATTGTAGAGCATTGAAAGGGCACATATGTCTCCTTACGTCATGAGTGGTTTTAGTACGAGGTCTGTGAAAAAATAAAATACGCACTCAAAATAAAATATTATGTTGTCCTGTTCAAAGGGTTAAAAAATAATTTGGTCTAAAAGGTTCTAGACTTCAGTAAAATTTTAATTTTTTTATAATTGGGAGAAACAAAACATAAAATATATAAAAAAAAATATTCGAAACAATTACAAAAAAAATCAATACAACTCCAAAGAACAATGGTCTAAATTTAGCAATAGGGACAAAAATAAAATAAAAAAAAGCCTAGAACAAAATCAAATTGGTTATTGTTGACTTTTACTTCGCCTTCTTCTTTATGGATATAAATCTATGAGAAGTTATAAAGTGAACTTTTAGCTTATACTGTTTATGGATGTAATTAATTACATTTCCTTATTTAACCTAATATTTAATTTATAATGATTAAGGAGAGAATTTGTATATTAATTAATTTTTAAAACTTTCACCCCCGTTAAAATAGAACAAAAAATTAATTAAATTAAAGTTAAATAATTTAATATTTTTTAATACTTCTTGCATATGACAATAAAAAATTAATTAATTTTGAATTGAAAAACAAAGAAATACGTCATCACTTTAATAGAAAAAAATAAAATTCCTAAATAATAAAAAATAATAAAAACTAATAAAAAATAATAAAAAATAAATAATAAGTTGCTGCTGCTGCTTTAATAAATATTAACTTGCCCCCTTTTTAAGTTGTTTTCCAGTTTATAATTATTAAGAAAAACCCCTTTTAATACAAACATCTCCAAATTAGATCTTTTAACAACAACAACAACCCCCAATTCAATAAGTTTATATATATATATATCAATCAATAAAGCTTTGGGTGTGTATCCTCCTCGATCTATACAAAAAAAAGCAAACAAAGAAACAAAGACATTACTGGTCAGCCACACCACAAAGAAATTACAAACCAGCGATAGACGATATACCCAATATACCCAATATATAAAAGTATATATCCCCCCATTCATTAGATACAGCCAAAACAAAGCAGTTTAAACATCTCCCCCAACAATCACATTCACTATCCATCATCAACAACAGAAGAGAGAGAGAGAGAGATGACACTTATGACTTCACCGAAGATTTATTCCCATAAATTTAAATTCCCATTAGGATCCCCCAAAACTACAGAATCATCAACAATGTCATCATCATCTACAGATACAACAACAACATCATCATCACCATCACCCACTAGCCGTAATAACAATAACAGACATAATAATGGTCGTGATATCCATTTGAAAGTTTCAGATAACATCAAGACAAACAGTCTAAGCACAACTAATAATACAGCCGCACTATCACCCACGTTTAATTTACAACAACCACCACCACCATCAAGTGGAATAGTACCACCACCAAGTGGAATAGTACCACCAATTAGGAAAGTACAACATACATCAACCAATGAACTGATTAGTTCAATTACATCCAATGCATCTGATTTAACAATTTATGAATCTTCAATTTGTTCAATTATGACATCAAAATCACAACAAACATCAAATGAAACATTGGTTGAACCACAACAGAATCATATAATAATCAATGAACCCAGTTGTTCTGGTAAATTGTTTAGTTTTGATGAAAATGATGAAGAAGATAAGAATCAACATAATCCATTCTTTAATGTTGATTTAAGTACAACTAGATCTCCACCTCCAGTTCCACAATTAAAGAAACAAATGACATTACCTTCATTATATAAGAAATGTCCCGTTCCACCATTGGCAACATCTTCCCCCATGGAATTATCATTTGATTCAATTAAATCTGAACAAGCTAAAAGATTACATTATATTCCAACTCAAAACTTCAAACCTCAAATTGAAAAATTATCCAATAGAATTCATTATATGTCACCATTGGATATTAATAACATGTTGAATTCTAATCATTGCACCCATCTTGCCATTGATATTCGTCCATTCAATGATTATATCAAATCACATTTAAAATCATCTTTAAATATCTGTTTACCTTCAACATTATTAAAACGACCCAATTTTTCATTATCAAGATGTATGAATTCATTACCCGATTATGAAATGTCCAAATTTAGTCAATTCTTAGAAGATCCTCAAGGTGGTGATTTAATTATATATGATTCAAATTCAAATTCATCAAATTTATATCATGTTTGTAATAAATTTATTCAAAGTCCAAGTTTTCAAAATTCAATGTGTCAAATATATTTAGTTGATACTAATTTTACCCAATTTCATAATTTATATCCTCATTTATTTGAATCGGGGACTATACTGTCGGATATGCTCGAACAACAACAACAACAACCGCAAGATTGTGCTTGCAATTTAAATAACTACCTACCACCAATCATAGTCCCATCAGCAAGAGTTTCTCGGTCTCAATCAGTATCCGACATTTCCCCTTATCGAAGATCAAATCCAAATCTGTCCTCCTCCTCTTCCAATTCACCATCAATGGCAAGTAGTAATAGCAGTCTAAAGGAGAAATTGAATACTCCAATATTAGCTAATTTCACCCTTCCGTCAAAATCAACCACATTTAAACTTCGTCATAATGAGGAGTTGTTACAACCGCCAAGACCCACATTGACAAGTTATCCAACATCCACAGCAACAGCTACCACGAAATCACCGATTAATCAATATGAAGTGAATAATAATGCCTTGTTTCGATTAGAAAATATCCCAGACGATAAATCAGTCTTACCCAATTGGATTAAATCAACCATCTTAAATAATAATGGAGAATTCACCGGGCGAAACCTAAATGATAATTTCTATATCTTGGAAAAACTCGAACAAAAACGATTAGTCAAAGCATTATCATTATCTGATCCAATCTTGAGTCCAATCAATGAAACCCCGTTGCAGATAAGTAAAGGAATAGAATATGGACATAAGAATCGATATAAGGATATCTTTTTATATGAACATTCACGAGTTAAATTAGATAATAATGAAGGGGATGATTCGATTGAGAATTATATAAATGCAAGTTATGTCACTCCCTCGGATTCATTTTTGAGTGAGCTTGTGGATAGGAGAAAATTAGGAAATCAGGTGAATTATATCGCCACTCAAGGTCCATTGGATGATACCATGGGTGATTTTTGGAAATGTGTATATAATTTAAACTCATGCTTGATTATTTCATTGACTGATGAGATTGAGAATGGGGTGATGAAATGTTCACCATTTTGGAAGAGTGGGATCTATCATCGATCACAACAGGATTCGATCAGTGTACAAATATTACAAGAGTTTAAATATGATGAGAATTTGATTATTAGAAGGTTTGTGATTAGGTTTAAGGAGAAGGAGAAGAGGATTATTCAAGTGCAATTGATTTCTTGGCCGGATATGGGGACGATTATTGATCCGGATCATATTTTACAGATTATCCAATTGAAAGAATTCATATTACGAAATTTAGATGATAATAATGATAATGGGTTTTTAGTTGATTATCCAACTATAGTTCATTGTTCGGCCGGGTGTGGCCGAACAGGGACATTATGTGTGATTGATACGATAATTAATCTACTCAAAACAGATGAATGTAAATTGATACAAGATCCAATATTTGATTTAGTTAATGATTTTAGAAAACAGAGGATATCAATGGTCCAGAATTTACGACAATATTATTTGATTTATGAAGTATTATTAGTTTGGATGAATAGAAATGATGAAAAGTTAAAGAAATGGAATGAATTGATACAATTGGATATTGTTAAACAATTCATTAAATCGGGATAAAGAAAAAAGGAAAATGGTTTGTTATTTATTTATTTTACAATGGTTTACTATATATACAGTATATAATATATACGAATAGCATGTTATTGCAATTAATCATCTTCTTTGGTGTTTCTTGATATTTATTCTGCCATTCTCTTGTTAAATGTAAGATCCTGTTTGATTTCAAGTGTGGATGCAAAGTTGCAAAAAAAAGAACAATAGAAATTGCAGTTTATAAAAATGAGCCACAGTTTTTTCTCTCGGTGTTTTTACAGCGCCCTTTGCCGCTTCTCGGTGATTAATGAAAGAATATGCCATAAGCAGCAAATCATCAGGAAGAACGCTCAATTACTTTACGAAATCGCTTAGATTACAACGGTGAGGACCCTGAAACACTTAAAATGATTGTGGAGAAATTACTAATTACTACGATTTCGGAAACGCCGAGCTATAACATTTTTCAATAAAATTCATAGCCGGTGGCAGGTTTAAAAGAACAATATAACGGAACTTTTTTCTACACTTATTTATAAAATGGATGTGTAACCATAGATGTGTATCAAGATTATATTATGTAAATTCTTATACTTTGTATTATTAATTATATATAATAAATAATTAAGAGACCCACGCGTCAAACACTTTAAGCATGAGAAGCAATGGCTTGTTTTAAAGCAGCAGGATTAGCACCAATAACTCTTTGAACTTCCTTACCACCCTTGATGAAAACAACAGTAGGCATAGAAGTAATTTCATATTCTTGAGCAATGGATCCAAATTGATCAACATCAACTTTAATGAAGTTAACTTGACTATATTCTTGAGAAAATTTGTCTAATAATGGAGCAATCATCTTACATGGACCACACCAAGTAGCAAAGAAATCGACAACGACTAATGAGTCGGATGCAAGAGCTTCGTCGAATTGTTGTTTAGATTCAATAGTAGCGACCATTGTATATGTCTATGTGTATATGTGTAAAAGTTGATACTTTCTGGAAAGAGAAAAAGGGATTTGTAAATTCGGGTGAAAATCTATCGCGTTTATATTTCAATTTTTCGTTCTTTCTTTCGCCATTGCCTCGCGGGTCGTGTACTTGTAAATTTTTCTCATTTACCACTGCTTACATAAATCGGATTAATCTAGAAGCTTCCCCCTCGTAATTCACTCATTTCACGTGATCATTAATTCCGGATTACAAATTTACATCATCATCGGCATTCCCAATTCAGTATCTCCGGTATCTACTAAAATATTATTTACTAATATTGTATAATGTACTATAAACTACTTATCACTATAACTTTACTATTACTACTAACTAATAATCTCTATTGCAATGACAATTCATTTGCAGGTGATCTATACTGAGTTTCCCAATCACTCTTGGCTATTTCTTCCGGTAAGATCAAACTCTTTGGATCTTGTTCATATTTCTTCAAGATTTTATCAATACATTTATCTTGATATGATTGATATTCCAGTATCATCGTATCAAAAGAATTAACAATCCCAACTCGGCTGCATTTGATTAATATTTGTTTATCTTTAAGATATTTGATTAAGAAATCAATGGCTCTCATTACTAATGTATTAAAGCTATCTTCTTGATCATATCCTGTTAAGGTTAATAATTGGGATTGGTCTTGTATGACTGGTTCTCCTTTATATAAGACCCCAATTGGATCGATTCCGTTGATATAATCATAATTCATTTCTTGATATCCGAATAGGTTAATTAATTCTTGTTGATCAAGATGAGTATCATAATCAGCGGGGATATTATTGAATTTTTGAAAATGTTCCATCATAATATCTGGCCATTGATCATTATAGGTAATATCTTCAATAAATAACAATGGTAAATTATTATTATAAAAATTGAAATAGATTTCTTCTTGATTAACTATTAATTGAATTTGAGGTAAGATTCTTAACCATTTACATATTAATAATCCATCTTCAATATAATGATCCAACATATCTAATTGCAATTCACATAATTGATAATAATCTTTATTTGGTAACATTCGAGGTTGGAATCCATAAGTGAATAAAAACCCTTGAATATCATCTTCTGGTGAATAACAAATCGATACTTCTATTTCTTCTCCCATTTTCATCGAATCATATATTTCTTTCTTAAATTTTAATAAAATATCATTTGTATCCCTATCAACATCAAAATATGCATTATTAAAATGACAATGATTAACAAAATCTAAAATTGGGGCCAATGTCACATCAATAACATAATCATGATTATTTCCAATCACTAACGTCTTAGTCTTCATATCTAACGCCATTGTAACATCCAAAGAATCTCTTCGTTGGATATTCTCCGAGATATTAGATTCAGTCTTGGCACATTCAGCCGATTCAGTTTCGACATCACGAGGAATCTCCAATGTTCTTGATCTAATCGCTTGATGAATTTGAAAACATTCTTTAAATGGTAATAATTTTTCAAAATCAAGTTCGGTTCTTGTCATATATAAGATCTTCAATTGTTCAATCAATGATTCATATTCATCATGTACCGCATGGTCGGCTTTAATACATTTCATGATAAATTTATCTTCATGCTCAGTATGTTCGGGATATTCTAAGGTAGAAGTATTGGTTAATATCGATAAATATGGATCAAATTTATGTAATGGTGATTCTTTAAAATATTGAGATTTAGGAAATTGTTTATGAATATTTTGTAAGGTTTTAAATGCATTGAAATAGGTAGTTAAGATCCGAGTCTCAGTATTTGGTTCGACAATACTTAAGAAATTAACAATTAATTCTGATTCTCTAACTGGTTTTTCACCAATATATGCCCGATCTCTTAGTTTTAATTCATCAAGAAAATTTAATAATGATACTATATCAAACACTGCACTTCTTGGAATTCTTAAAATCTCGAAATAATCTTCTTCCGGATGTTCTTCTTCTTGTTTGTCTAAGAATAATCCAATTCCTCCTAATGAACTCTGGCCAATTTTAAGACCCTGATGTAACTTAATATTTTTGGAATCTATCCATTCCGATAACTGGGAATTATCGTCTATTCCCGGGATTTTAACATCTGATGATTGTATATATTTGACCATTGTAATATATAAAGGTATCTTATTATGTTCTTTTGTGTGTATAATCTAAAAAGTAATTGATAAAAGGAAATGAATGAATTGGTAATAAAAGATTTAAAAATTGCTTCGGAGTTTTTTGTTGGTCACACAGGGTTTTCTTCTTTATATTTAATTTTTTTTTAACACAGGGCTTTAAATTCTTCTATTTTTTTTTCCTATTGTTCCACAAGTATATAAATTTAAAGATCTCATACAATCTTCACTTCACCTCACTTAATTCTTTATGTTTAAAAGAACCCTTTGCACATGTTTACATGACCCTCCAACCTTTCACTTTGTTACAGCTAGCTCCAATTGAAAAACATACTCTGATATCTTCAATTTCTTCTTCCTAGGAAATGCCTGAGTACATGAGTACTATCTGTTGTATCATTCCTAGTATCCATTCCAATTCAAAGGACTCGAGGAATACCAAACAGTTAGTCTCATATCAATGTCGAATTGTATGACATTTCTCAACTATACTATGAACACCTGCCTTTCCAAGAAAACGGCTATCCAATCATCAACAATTAACATCATTGACAGTAGTCACGTCATACGTTTATATGCCGGATAAGTCATGTGTAATATTTTGCATCCAAACGATTCAAACCATTGAACAAATATGCTTGTGAATATTGTATTGTAATTCATAGAAGTTATTCACAAATTATATTTTTGAAAGTAATCATTTGATAAATAAGTTTTTATTCTCCCCTGAAAAGTATTTTTATTATTCCATACATTTGTAAAACCAGCAGCAATTGAATGCACCATTATTCTTCTCTGTCTTTAATTAATAAATAGAAGCCGAAAGAAGACCAACCAAAAAAAAAAATTTTTTTTTTTATAAAAGGCAAAAAGAAAACTGCGTAACAAAGTTCTTAAAACCAGTTCTCAAAACGAAAGGACGCCATTTCTTTCATTCAACCAACCAGCTTACTAATACCAACTTGACAATGTCTTGGGACGACGAAGATTTTGATATTCCAGCCAAAAGCACCAATGCCCCAGCTGCATCCTGGGAAGACGAAGAAGATGACGATTCTCCAATTTTAGAATCTTGGGATATTGATGAAGATGAAATAGCAAGAAAGAAAAAGGAAGAAGCAGATAGAATAGCTAAAGAAAAAGCAGAAATAAAGAGAAAAGAAGATGAAGCAAAATTGAAAAAACAAGCTAAATTAAAAGAAATTGAAGAATTTGATAGTTTGGATCCTGAAGTTCGTAAAAAATTATTAATGAAAGCTGAATTGAATGCTGATTTAAATAATGCTGCTGATTTATTCGGTGGATTAGGAGTTACTGGAGATATCGATGATGATGATTTTGATATCAATGCTCATCCAAGAGAAAGAGCTAATAAATTAGCTCTTGAAGCCCAACAAAAGAAACCAGTCTTAACTAAAGATACTCCATTGGAAGACCATCCATTATTTCAACCAACTAATAAGCAAGAATTTGAAAAATTAAGAAAGGCAGTAGGTACCTCATTAACTGGATTAGCCGAAGATTCTTCATTATTATATGCATCAAGTTTAGCAATTGATTTAATTAGGGATTTATCTCAACCTTTATCAGTTGAAAATCTTAGAAAAGTTATTTCCACATTAAATGTTGTCATCAAGGATAAGGAAAGACAAGAAAGACAAGCCAGAATGAAAAAGACTGGTGGTACTGCCACTGGTGGGGCTGGTAAAAAGAAGGCTAAGCCAACCGCTAGACCAAATGTTGGATCCATGAAAAAGAATGAATTTGAAGATATGGATGCTGGTGATTTTGACGATCTTGGTGATGATGATTTCATGTAAAATTTTTAAAGGCGTTTGTACTGTGTAATAATGAAATGGTATTAGAAAGGCTTTTCATAACTTAATAGATTTGCCAGTTGTTATATGTCGGATGGAATGCATTGGAAAGCACTAGCTGTTTCCTGTATTCTAATTCACCCCTCACTCTCTACTATTTGGCAGGTGATGTGAATCCTTATCCAAAAATTAGCATGGAACCTTCTTCAAAGGCTCATGCATTCTAAACAATGGTCTCTTGATGGACCGCCTCGATCTTAATTCTCTTTGAATATCACTTACTCTTCTCGATGGAATCTTTTCACTCCATAGAATGGATTGGAAAGTAGCATTGTGAGCTTGCTCACCGAATGAACTATTATTGTGTTCGTTGTTTGGATCAATTGTTTTTAGGTTAATATCAGCTGATACTGAATTTTCTGTGTGGGAGACACCTACATCATCGTACATGGAATGATTTCGCATCGGAGTAACTGGAATTTGTATTGATTGGTTTGGTTGGTTAGTTATTACTGTTATATAATTCTTATGAAGAGTTGAGCTCTCTTTCTGATAAATCGACTTATCTTCTTCCCTCATTCTTGTACATTCTTCATCATTTCCAAGTATAACTGAGTCTTCTAACATATCTTGGCTCGACATCACGTTTTGAGAATCAGTCGCTTGATCAAGTGGAGGAGTAGAAATATCTTGTAGGGGCTTCCCTGATAATTGGTTCATAGAACTGTCAGAAAGGGACTTATGGCTCTCATTCTTCCTTTGGTTAGATGTTGTTTGATTCGGGGTATTTGAAAACAAGATTCTGTCTTTAAAAGTCATAGCTTGGAACCTTTCTACACAACTAGTATTCTTTTCGGAAAGAATGAGAAGGTAATCACTTTCGGTCATAAGCTCAGGTGTAGTTTCGTATGTAATTGGACCACAGCTCATCCTATTGTCGGATTTAGGATCTGCCTCGGTCGTTCCAACATATTGGATTGTCTCTGTAGACATGTCAACTCGTTCTGATACCTCGTTGACAGGAAACTGCAATGACCGAATACCATTTACTTCCATGTCAGCAGATGGTTCGTTATTCATCTGGGAGCCTTCAATTATGCTGCTTTCCTGTAGGACGGATTTGTTTGAGTACCCCTTAGAACTATTAGTAAAATCATTAGAAGAATCTATCTTTTGCAATGGTGGAATTGGTTGCGAGTTGGAATTTTTTGCAACCGTTGAAGTTTGTTCTGCGGCTAAAACAGACTCACTATTTTTAACTTCTTCCTGAATAATTGCTTCCTTGCTTTCAGGGAAGTAATGATTTTCTGAGGAATGCCTTAGTTTCGGTGTAGGAATCACTGGTCCTGTTGATTTGGCATATGATCTCTCTATGTATAAATTGATGTTTGTTCCCTGGGTGGCTGGTTGGTTGTTTGTTTCAAGCGCTGTATTCTTCATGTTCGGTTCTTCTAGCTCTTTGATTATTTTGACTTTTAGTATTTTCTTGAAGCTCTCACCATTTTCCATTGATTCAGAAGCTATAGTTTCTTTGTTGTTCTCGAATGTGTACTCAGATGGTAACCCTATTTCAATTGGTTCATTCTCAACATCCAACTTCGTCAAAGATAACCTGTTTATAGAATTTTCAATATTTTTAACAACCTCTTGATCAGCTATTGGTATATTCAAGGTCTCAAAGTCGTCAAATGTAGGAACGTATGGATCCTTAGTTACTCTTCCACTGCGCAGCTTATTCCGATTACGTGATCGTGGAATATATGGGGTGAGTCTTTCTTTACGACTTCTTGAAACAGCAAGGTGACTTCTAGAACCAAACTTTTGGGGTGTTGAAGTTTCTATGATAAAGCTTGTACGTGGAGTAAGTATATGAGGACTACTGGTAAAAATAGCACGAAGTTGTTCTGCAGCACTCACCTTGGAAGGTGTTTCCTTCTTCCTGGGTTTCTTTTTGATGCTGGAAGAAGTGCTGGCGGTGCTGGTGCCGGTGATGACAGATGTTCTGTAACGACTCTCGGAAAGAGAGAGTGGTAGTATATCCTTCAGATGAATTGGGTACTGAGCATTTTGGTGTTTCTTGGGTGTATTCAGAGTCAATCTGTTGGCTAGTGTAGAATCTAGATTACAATAAGTTAGTGGGTTGCAAAAAAATTACGTAGAATTGTTGCCAGAAATTTCAATTTTCAAAATCAATTCCTTCAATTCTACCATAGATATAAAATTGTTAAATGAGTAACTTAGAAATATGTTTCTACTTGATTACTTACTTTTCAATGGTTTTCTCATTTTTTTGGATTTAAGTTAATAAATCAGTGATGAATTTTATTCTCTATCATTTGCAAGTAATCTCAAGCTCAGTTAATTTTGGTGGTGTTTTTCCTCACACTGAAAAAAATCAAAATCAATGAAATTGATAACTCAGATTGTCACTCTTCCAATTAAACTAAGGAACAAAAACCAGATCTATACACAAAGAAATGACTTCTCATGACGATATAATACTTCCATCGATATCCTCAATATCAAAACTCACTATATCGGATGTATCAAAGACAGGATTTGGTTACAATCCATCAATTGGACCAGCTTCAAATGCAATTACTCAAGATACTGCTGGTATACTACTCAATAAACGAACAGTATCACTTACATCAACACCTTCCATCTATGATAGGAATATAACCAGTAAGAAGCCACATGATATTAACTTATCTTCACTTTCATTTTTATTTTGTGAAGTTGTTAATTGGTCTCATAGAAATTCCAAAGGAATTCATGATTTAGAAACAAGATTAAATGGATTAGGATATCAAGTTGGTCAACGATATCTTGAATTAATTAAATTAAGAGAGGGGTTTAAGACAATTAGAAGAGAAATTAAGATTATTGATATGTTACAATTCATTCATGGACCATTTTGGAGGACTATATTTGGAAGACTGGCAAATGAATTAGAGAAATCTCAAGATATTGCTAATGAATATATGATAACTGATAATGTCCCCATGTTGGCAAGATTTATTAATATACCGAAAGATTATGGTAATTTAAATTGTTCAGCATTTGTAGCTGGAATGATTGAAGGTGCTTTGGATAGTGCTGGATTTTATGCTGATGTTACTGCTCATTCTGTACCTATTGATGGATATCCTTTAAGAACAGTGTTTTTGATTAAATTTGATGAACTGTTATTAATAAGAGAAAGTTTACGATTTTAGCAATGTATGTTTAATATATTAATACCATAAATGGGAAACTTGTAGATGATCTCTCAATCATCTCTCTTAAGTGACGATACTTCTAATGTGGACAGCAATCTGTCTCTGGACACCACTGTTCAATCATCCTGGCGATGTTATTGGGTATAGAGATCCATGAAATGATTTAGTACACGACTCTCAGATTGAATCGAAAAAAAAAAGATTTTCTGTAACAAGCGTTTATTGTCTCTCGAGATTGTGAAAAATTTGATTCTCTGTCAAACAAGATTGACAATTAACAAACCATCTATTGGTTATAATAGTATTTGTTTATCCCCATTCACTTTAAGTAGAGTAAAGTTGTTATTGACTTTACTGGATTACTATCCTTCCATTTTCAGTTTGTTTTTTCTTAAAATATTCTTTTGCATAATAATAATAATAATAATTAATCTTCATCAACCATGGGTATCACTATAAGACAAGCAACAATAAATGACATACAAGCAATGCAAAATGCTAATTTGCATAACTTACCAGAAAATTATCAATTAAAATATTATATGTATCATATTTTATCATGGCCACAAGCATCATTTGTTGCAACTACATTTGATGAAATTGTAAATTATAATGATCCAGAAGAAATACCTGAATCTGAAGTAATAACTGATACAAAAGGAGATACAGCATATATTAATAAAGGAGAAAAGATTGTTGGTTATGTATTGGGTAAGATGGAAGATGATCCAGAAGCAGCTGACAAAACCCCCCATGGTCATATTACTTCATTATCAGTAATGAGAACATATCGTAGAATGGGTATAGCTGAAAAGTTAATGCGACAATCACTTTATGCCATGTGTGAAAGTTTTGATGCTAAATATGTTAGTCTTCATGTTAGAAAATCAAATAGAGCTGCATTACATTTATATCGAGATTCATTAAATTTTCAAATTACTTCAATTGAAAAATCATATTATCAAGATGGTGAAGATGCTTATGCTATGAGATTAGATTTAGAATTGGAAAAGTTGTTACCTTCTAGTTGTCAAGGTGCACAAGAACTGGATGATATAACAAAGGATTTGTTAGAAGATTTATAGAGTTTTATACTTTTTTTTATTTAATACTTTTGTCATGCTTAAAGAGGTAGCTTATAGAGTGGTAGGAGACGAAGCGCCTGGATGGCGTCATTTATATACCGTTTATCTTCTTTTTAGCTTCCTCTTACCTTCTACTGATAGTTTTTCATTTGTCTCATAGTAAGTGAACAAACGAAAAATGGGTTGCAAAAAAATTGTATTTTTACAAACACCATTGTTTCCACTTTTATTCAGATTATCTACAGATGACATAATCCTGCCGTTGTCAAAAGAGATTATCAAGTTCCATTTCTTCAATGCAAAAGTATCAATTAATAATATACAAATTAGAGCCCCATACTTATTTCCAATCTAATAACGTTCCTTCATTCTAGAAGCGACAGTACGCAAATTACCATAAACCTTACCTGGAGGAGAACCCAAAATCAAACTAACAACCGCTTCTCTAGCCATTCTAATATGAGTGAATCCACCCAATATATGAATCTTTGAATCAGCCAATACTATTCTTGTTCTAGTAGCATTTTCAATAGCAAATTTGGTTTTCCCATCTTTCCCAGCAATTCTACCAATTGCTCTTGATAAATGATCTCCAGTTAATGTTTTCACATCCTTAATTTCAAAAGTTTCAATATATAAATCATCCAATCTTAATAATGCAATAGCATCATCAACATCAAATCCCAATGTGAATGCTTTAACGAAATCAGCACCCTTTTGTAATGCTCCTACATCAGTGGTATTTTTATTAGTTCTTAATTCAACTGTTTTAGTTTTCAAATTCATTCTAACTTGTAATTTCAAATGATCCACTAAAGGAGGATATATCTTTGTCCATACACCTTTGAGAGGTGTCATTCTATGTGGTGGAACTGGAACTTTTCTACTTTCCAATTTAACTTTCATATTTGATTTTGATGCTGCTGAGAATTTTGGCTTACCTGATTCATCAAGTGCTAATTCGGTAGACTCCACTATTTTATCGGAAGCTGACGCAGCGGTTGCTTCAGCTGGTACATTGGTGGTATCTATTAACATTTCTTCATCATCTTCTTGTATGTTTGATGTATTGGTTTGAGATGGGATGGACTCAGCAGTTGGTTCTGGAGTGGTTTTCTTGATTGCTGTTGGAGCGGCCATGTTTTTATTGTTTGCTATGTCTATATTGATATTCTATAAAGGGTGATAAAAGGATGTATTTTTAAGGATAATAAACAGTCAAATGTCGCTTGCAAGGATATACGGTAGTTGTTATCAGCTGAAGTAAGAGATGCCATCATATTGAAAAAAAAAAAATTCTCATCGCCTAAACAAAAAAAGGAATTATTGCAGGTTGCTAAGTTGTAAAATATATGGATTGCTGGTTTGCTCAAGTTTACATGTTGTGCGCATGGTGAACAAAAAAAGCCAAAAAAGCCAATCAAAAATTCGACTTTCAAACGTTTAAGGAAGAACCGAACCTTAAAACCATCCAACTTTGCTTGCAACTCGTCAACTTTAACAAATAAGCAATTTTTAAGTTCTGGGGTTAGAAATTGGGGTGCTCTACTTTCATTCACTTAGCGGATAGGATATACAATACTTCAATTGAGGTTTCCCCAGAACATACCGAAAATAGTAAATGCCGATATATTGTCAATTCCCGAAAAATTCCGGTAACAAAGAAAAAAAAACCGCTCTAAACTCCCTCCAATGTTCGCTAGTAGAAAGCCGCCAAAAGAAATTTTGTTCACTTGATTTGTAAAAAAAAAAAATTTTTCCCTTAAATTAAGTCAATTATCATTTGTTGAAATATTACACTTTTATACAATTAATTCAGTTCTTTAACATATTAGAACAAATCTCAACATTTGTATCTATTTTATTAACCATACTTATTACCTGGGGACTTAAATCCAATAAAATACTCAACCCACAAGAAAATCACTACTCATCTTACAGCAAAAACAAGTGTGTGAAATATATTATCAAATCCCGCAAATATGATTAGCCAATCATTGATACGGTCTTCTTCAAGTTCATTAGTGGCTTCCGATAGAATACTATTGAATAGACTTATAAAACCGGTCTCAATACTATCAAGACATACTATAGCCGGAAATGCGTTTGCTACAACTACATATCTTGCCTTTAGACAATTTGCCCCAGAATATCAAACAATTCGACACTTTACTACTGTTCCATATAGACTTCAAAACAAAATACCAGAAAACAAGTCAATTAGTTCAAACCAACCATCTATAAGTCAAAAGAATATGGAATTAACAAGTTTAGTCACCAAGGCTACTTTATTGTCTCAAGCCAATAGTAAATTACACCGAATGTTAATCCATATAAAATGGCCACTTTTAAGAAATACAAGATCTACATCTTCATGGGACATAGCATCTGCATTCATTTCCTGGTTAGTTATGGGTAATTTACTTTGGATTATTTTGGGGACAACTACATTTGGATTAATGGCAATGTATGCAATTCATTATTCTCAGAATTTATATGATACATTAACTGACGACGAAAAAGAAGATAAGACCGAGACAAGAGATAATAGTATTTTGGGATATATTACTGGATCTATTTTATCATTTGGATTGGGGATTAAGATTCAGTTTGAAAAAGGGAGTATTTTACCCGAATTGAAAGATGGAAGATTGAGATTTAAAAACGTAACTGTTGTTAGCGACGGAGAAGATGAAGCTACGGCAAAGCCTGCTCTTAAGGCAAAGATAGAAGCTATGGATGTTAAATTATCATTCAACAAATGGTATGAAGGTAATGGATTGATTTATGATTTGGAAATATTCGGATTAAATGGAAAAGTTCATCGTAATGAACCTCCGAAACCAGCTCCAATAAATCAACAAGACCATATACAGAAACATAATTCAAATGTATTTTCATATCGTCATCATGAGAATATCCACTATCAATACGACATGACTGAAAATGATGAAGAAATGGAAGAATTATCATCAGGACCAGCAACTTCATTTATTGATTCCAATTATCAATTAGAACATGTCAAGATTCATGATTCGTATTTAGAGATTTATGATTCTTGTGACAAGCCATTATGTATCAATATTTTCAATTGTGATTTACCTAAATTACGTGGAGATCGGATATTATTAGATTTCTTTAATGCCAACAATGCTAGTGGAGCCATTAATGATTCTATGTTTACAATCCACAAGCGACAAATGGATAATGATGAATTACATACTTTTGATAGAACCGTGAGATTTAAATTGGATGCTATTGATTTAGGTGCAATTTCAAGTGCTAATCCACAACTGAAATTTAATTGGATTATAAATGGGAAAGCAGAAGTTGTTGCTGATATAAGATTACCTAATTTAGAAGATCGAGCTGAAGAATTTCAATTAAGTCAAGAATATAAGAAATTAAGTGGACTTGTATCGAAATTCCTTTCCGGATTATCATCATTAACTCACCATCATCCTTCTTCTGATGAAGAAGGCAGTGAACAAGATACTTCGACATTATTAAAAGATGCGATTTCAGCAATCTATCATACTTTTAACAACCAAGAACATTCCACTCCCAAGGAACAACCATCATCATATGTCATGGTTGATGTTAAGGTAAAATTACATGACTTAAAAGCATCGGTGCCTAAATATTTACCAGTTTCCAATTCAAACAATATGCCATTCATCTCACTCACAGATTTAAGAACATTAATAGGATATATCAACAATGAATCTCAACCAATCACAATAAATACCACAGTAATTGAGAAATTAAGTGGATTGTATAATGTTGAAAACTTGAGTTCAACAAAGATGTTTGATTATATCGTGGGGGATATATATGAAGAATTGGGTAAATTGGTTAAATTAGATGAAAGAAGAATCATAAAGGAAAAATCTTCTATGTGGTCTCATTCAATTGCTAGTCAGTTGTTACTTTTGGGATTGGGTGTGATTGTTTAAAACAGTTTTGTATGATATGTGATTTGTATGATTAGTTTCCGTTAGTTGTGATGTAGGTTTGATGGAAGGTAGAGAAGAGGACAATTGTGTTATTTTTTTGGAGTTATAGTTATTTATTTAAGATTATTTATTTATTATGTACATAGATTACAAATTGAATTTGTTATGGGTGAATCATTGTTCTTCTGTAGATGGTTTCAGGACTTATTTATCTGTTCTAATCTGAATGAGCTGGGTTATTGTTATCTATAAAACTACAGATATGGGAGTATTCACTTCTTTCTCTTAACAAGGTGAACTTCAAAGTTGTTACCCATGAGATCCTGCGACAATTCACTATCTATAGCTTTGGCACCAATTCCAAGAGTAGGACCTCTCTGCCTATGCAGTACAATCTCCTTCTCATTCTCCTTGGTTTTCTTATCGATATCATCAGAACCATCCCATCCCAATCCTCTGAGAAATGCGGCCCCAAATTCACCAATTGGAACCGACTTAAAATCTTCCTCCTCATCAGATGTATTATCCCCTTGATATCTTTGTTCGTTTCGTGATCGTATTTTTGTCTTTGATGAGGTTGTTGGGGTCCTGCCGGATTGTTGATCAAATGTAGTTACACCATACTTTAGTTGGGTTTCCTTGGCTTCTGCTTCTTGAGCATTGGCAATTTCCTCTTTGTTCGGTATTCTTTTGACTTTACTTTCGTGTTTTATTACTACGGCCACTTCTTCTGGAGTAAGTGTATCCTTGGAAAATGAATCTATTTCCCTTTTAGTGGGTTCGCTTTCTTCATCTGAATCATCATTATTTAATAATCCTTTGGATTTGATAATTAGTTTTTGCTTCTTTTTTAGACTAAATCCTGTTAGTTTGTTGTTAGCTATTGTTGGTTTGTTTATTCCTTGAGACTTCTTCTTTAAGTTTATCTTGATTCCTGACATCTTTTATCTGTTTTGTCCTACGTATTATCTTACACGATTAATGCGATGACCTTGGGTTCCGCTTGGTTACAAAGAAATGTACAAAAACGCGTCACGCGAACAATGTTTGACATTTTTCGAAATTTTCGAAAAATCACTTTCTGGTGCTGCAAACTCTTGTTTCTATACATTAAAACGAATGTATGCTATAGAAGGACTGGAAGTCATCATGACTCTACGATCATTACAAGACGAGCGTCCAGACATTACTATGACATCTTTCGATGAAGGAGATAGTGAAATTACTGATGTTGATATTGATCCAGCATTGTTCAATGTTCAGTCACAATCGCAACAAGAAATATCAATACCGGATAGCCCTGTGCCAATTAAACGAGGAGTTAATTTGATGGATTTGCTTTCTGGAAATAAGAAGAAGAAGACAAGATTAGAGAATAGAGATCAATCTAATGAGAATGTCGAGGAGGTTAATCCAAACAATGAAGATCTGTTACAAGAAATTGAGGTTATCAACCTGACAAGCACAAGTATCTCTCCTGATCTGGATAGCGATATCCTTAGTGAGCCCGTGGATGAAGAAGTGAAAAATACAACATTTGAATTAGAATCGAAGATATACGCCAATGCTACGAAACGCACCACTGCTAAGGATTTGTTTTCAAGTTTTAACCAGCAACCTAAACACAAACCGACAATTCCTACCCTTGATCCAGAACCAATAGAAATTGACGATAGACCAACCACATCTGAGATTGAAGCTAAGATAACTTCAACCAAGAAGAAGCTTTCCGCTAGGGATATTTTAAACCTACATAAAGACAAAAAACCAAATATCCAACCATCTAATCAAGAAAATCAAAGCAAACATTCGAATGAGGTTATTGAAGCAAAGATGTTTACAAATGCCAAACGAACAACGGCCAAAGATTTGTTCAAGCTGTTCAAACCACCGCCTCCACCCAAGTTGGAAATCACACTCAATATAAAACCCGATAAGCTACGTGGAATAAAAGTGCGACACAAGAGTGTTATTGAAGTAATGAGTGATGAGGACGAAATAAGCAATAATGAAACCACCACGAGAAAGAGAACAACGGCTAAAGAGCTACTAGGAGGACTTGTGTCGGTCAACAAATCACAAAAGAAGCCTTCACTTTTCATAACCTTGAAAATTAATCCAATTGAATTGTCCAAGATAAAGGACTATGATAATCCGTTAAAAACGAAAGGTAATCTTACTGTAGGAGCTTCATTCTCGAAGACTGGGAAATGTTCATCCAGTGTATTTGCAAGTATGATGCAAGCTTCAAAGCAATCACTGAAGCTTACTGCTTTGCAAGGTTTGAATGAGTTACCTTTACCGGATTTAACCAGGGATCAATTCCATGTATTTGTTGAAGATGAGGTTCCGGAATGCATAGAGTTCCCATTCTCTCGTAGGGAAAGAAACCGGGGAGATTTGAAAGTTTCAGGAATGGAAAGATTTAAACTTGATGAAGAGAAATTACATAGCGAACATTTGATCCATACCAGTTTCGAAATAAAAACGAATATATCGAGGCGCGAATATGCCTTAGAAAGACTACCTGAATTACTCGATGCACCTGCTTTGGCAGGTCTTTATGATCGATTCCTTAAAGACGATGACATTCCAACTAAACACAATATCCTCTGGGTCGATCATTTCAAACCATTGAAAATGGAGGAATTATTAATGCACCCCAAGAATATCCGTGATATCCAACTCTGGATCACCAATTCATTCAATAAACTCAAATCCCAATCGGGAGACCGGTTGAAAAACATGAAGAAAATGATCAAAAAACGGAAACAACAACAGGATTCTTTTATAGTATATGATGATTTTGAAGATGGTACAACTGAAGAAGAAATATTTCTGCCGTTTTTGATCCTACAAGGTTCTCAAGGTTCTGCAAAGTCGTCTTCGATCTATACGGCGATGAGACAAATGAATGGATATGTACATGAAATAAACAGTGGAATGGCTAGAGGTAGGAAAGATATTTATAACAGTCTTAAAGAATTATGTACTACCCAACTCGTTCATAATAATGATACTAATGAATTTCAAAAGGGGATAGTTTTATTAGAAGATGTCAATGTTTTGTTTGAACAAGATAAGACATTTTGGCAAGTTGTGCAAGATATTGTCAATATTTCTAAAAGACCGATTGTATTGACTTGTGAGGAGCTATGGAATATACCCAAGAGTTTGATTCAGTTGGCGGAAGAGGATGATTCGATTATTTTTATTGATGATTATCCTGTGCCGAAAGAGTGCATTGTTCAGTATTTGTGGTTGTGCTGTTTATGCCAAGGGTATGATGTGGATTGGAAATTGCTTGAAACTATGGTGGATGAAAATCGCGGACATGATGGTTCGGGTGGTTATGATTTACGGAAATGTTTAATGGCTTGTGAGATTTTGTGCAAAGTTGAACATTGCGAAGATGGAATAGTTGTGATCAATGAACTGACAGAAATACAGGAAGCAAAGAAGAAGAACATTGATAGTCTTGAGGCATTAGCCAATGTTTTAGAAGTCCAATCAGCGGTTGATGTCATCAATACTGGTTCGATATCGCAGATTGGCCATGAAATTCAACCAAATGAATTGGCGGATATATATTACATTGATGATACAAGTAGGTTAAAACAGAAAACATTACCATTTGAATTAAATATTGGAGACCAACTAGAAACCCATATACGAAATTCCTACAATAATATCAAAACCTATATTCCCGCTCCTAAATATTCTCGAAATGATTTACGTTATGAATGTAATACATTTATAGGTTCTCGATCAAAGAAAGTGCCAAGATACATAATAGACTTCAATGAGAATCGGAGAACATTGAGATCTTCGAGTGAACCATACGAACTGGATGCATGGACTCCTGAACCTACTGGTATTCCGGATACTTCATTCTTGAATCATATTCCACATACAGCATTTATACTTGATTTATTGCCAATTGCAAGATATTGGGAAAGATATCAAAAGAGTATAAATAAGTTCGAGAAAGAGGCAATTGAAAATGGTAGAGAAAGTGTTAAGAAATTCTTGAATTATCGGGATTTTCAATATGCCAAATCCAATTTGCGTAGCACAATGATAGGAAAAAAGAACGATATATAGGACCTCTTGATATAACAAATTATAGATCTATAGAATTAAATTAATCTTGTTCTAGTTTTGATCAATCCTCCGCCAAAAGATCTTGCTGCTTTATGTTTAAAATCAGTCATCTGTAATCTTCTCCAAGCTTCTTCAATGTGGTAGGGTAATAATGGATGAGCCAATTCATCTGGTTTATCAAATAGATACTTTCTCTTTTTCGGACTAGCAGTTTCTTTGCCATCCTTATTCTTTTCCTTTTGAATTGCATCTAATTTCTGTTCGGAATTTTTTATTGTCATTGCTTCTTCAGTTAATGAACATACAATTTCAAACGTTAAGAATCCCAATATATCAATAACATCATCGTTAGGTCTAGTATCACATAATTGGGCAATTTGGGCCCATTCCCTGAATCTCTTTGCCTTTCTAAACGTAAATGATGCTTGTCTACATTCTGACCAATGGACATATTCTTCTTTGGTCATATTCTTAGTTCTATCATCTGCCAGTTTTAATCTTTTTAATGAGGCTATCGTGGCTGCTTTTTCTTCATCATCAACTTGTTCAGCTTCTTCAGCAGTTTCTAAATGTTGTTCACTAAACATGAATTGTATTTCCCAAGGTAATCGAATCTTTGACTTCTTGTAACGTGAAAGCATCTTAGAAGAATCATTTGTTTGGCTACTTGCACCTGCTCCCGCAGCACCGCCTGCAGCTGCCGCTGGGTCATTCTCCATTAAGGATTCAGTACCTCCACCTTCTTGATCTTTTGCATTCTTACGAACATCTTTCCAAGATAAATAAGTTCTTAATCTATTCACCTTTGCCTTGTCGTGTCTTATTAGAAATATTACATCTTCTGGGGCTATTGATTTAGATCCTCTACTGGAAGCTGTCTTTGTTGCTTGGAGTAATATTTCCATAACTTGTCCTCGTACTATATCTTCTATTATTGATGTTGTTTCTATTGGAGGATCATTTGATTCTCCCAGGACAAACATCATTTGTTGAATTTCCATTCTATATTTATATTTACTTTCATTTACAGACATACTTGAATTTACTATGTATGATATATGTATGTATGTGTTTTGATCAATATCGCTGTTGTTTATAACCCTAAACCCTAAAAGTGGATAAATTGAAAGTTCGATTGAGCCGCAGTACGTCCGGGTAATTCTCATATTCTGAGAATTATAAAAGGAAGACTTACAAAGTACGAGATGAAAAAAATTTTCAATTAAGATTTTCATTAACATTCTTTCTTTCTTTCAACAAGAGAATAACAACAACAACAGTGATATTTATACAATTAGTATGTAAACCATGAATTGTAAACAATCTCATATATACATTCATATAAAGTTTAGTATTACTGTTATTATAAAATGATGAACAGAGTGCATTTGGCTCGAGACTTTCTGTCGGTGTGGAAAAAACACAGCTACCTTACTTTATTATTATCTGACATATACAAAACAATACTACAGTTTATTAAACTATATATATTGAATGATGAGATGTTCTTATTAGCCAAAAAGACATCGTTTATACTAACATTCACTCTAGTATCTATACTTTATATGTATATCTATCTTAAATCGATGTAGTTTCAAGGTTAAAACTTACTTGAGACACATTTCCGTAGTATTGTTTCTCTTAGTTTGTTTGGTGGGAGTATTCTAGCATACATCATCTTCATTATGTTGATTGGATGATACCCATAATGAACAAATAGGAATAATAATTAAGAAATGTGTCAAAAGATGGAGTGTTTGAATATGTCGATGGCGGAGATATTTCTCTTACACGTGCTTGGTCTTAGTGAAGTAGATGTGTAGTGTCTATATTTTATGTTTGGCAGACTCTAACCTCTGTATTTTGAAATATCACTGGGATGCTCATCGCGAGTAAACTCAAGACCTCCGACCGGGGGGAGGAGCCTTTGAAAACAATTAAGTACTTTCAAACATCAGAATGAGACTCCCCTTTTTACAATGTACTAAACAGATTCAGCTAATGCTATTAAATTATCTATAAACCTATATCTATCCAAACAACTTAATTGAGTTATCTTCTGGAATAATATCCCCATTCGTCTCTCCGTCAATCTCGTCATCTTGCTCCTCCTCATCTTCTTCATTCATATTCACCTTTTGTCCCAACAAAGAAGCAAAGAATTCATCAATTTGATCATCGTTCCATTTCCAACCGCCTCTAGAAGTTTCAAAATTGGATATTTGATCTTGAACATGATATCTCAATTTCCTTCCCTTTGAAGCTTTGGTATCTACATTATTCTTAAGTTTATTTGCTCTTTGTGCACTACGTAAAGTAATACTCACCCCACCTGAAGTTGGATCACTGGATTGGACTTTCTTATCAACTAAGTCATTAAGTAAAACACGATAGAAGTCTTCGTCATCGAAAATTTGATCAATTTCGGATCCTTCTGTTTTGGTTTTTCTTGATTGTTGTTCTTGTATTGGAATATCTTCGTCAATTTCTTCATCTTGATTTTGTTTGGTTGAGGTTCCATTGGAAATTGAAGATGGATTATATCCCAATGGAGTAATTTGACGTCTATTTAATTTTGTTCTCTTGATTAATCTATTCATGTCTGAAAGATTATTAATCACTTGTTGTTCAAAAGATTGATTAATTGTTTTGAATTTACTTGCATTAATAGCATTTGACCCGGAAGAATTTTGAACTTTAGCTGACCATTTAGTCAAAATGACCGATCTAGATTTATTTAATTCAGAATCAAAAGATTCTGTTGTCTTGGAATATGTTTCATATGATCTTTTCTTTGGATGTTTATGATTGGTTGTTGATTCATCTAATTGACTTCTGAGGGTTAAAAGTCCATCCAATAAGGAATATAAACCTTCTTTAGTCTTCAGAAGCAATTCTGGAGAATAGTCGAATTCTTCCAATGTTTCATGATCAATTGGTAATAAATTGGCATTAGTTAATGATTTTTGGAATTTTAATCTTATATCAACTAATTTTTCGAATGTTTTATGTTGTTGTTGAATAGCATATCCTTTAAGTGCATCATTTGTGGCTGATTGGGATAAACGATTTATGATATGGCCTCGTTCTTTATTCATTAAATCTTTCAAAACTTGACGTTTATGGATCGCAATATCGTCATCTTCTTGGTCACTTTCATCTTCAGAGGAATTATCTCTTAATGAGGCCCCGGAATCGCTGTCGTTGGCGGATTCGTCGGATTCCTCTGCTACTTCCTCGTCTTGAACTTCATCTTCTTCTTCGTCTGATTCAACTTCATCAGAGTCTTCTCCAGAAACTTCAGCTTCGTCATCATAGAGAGAATCTCTACTAACGACGCTTCCGGTATATTTCTTGCCTAAATTAGTAGTATGACTCTGTCTTAGCTTTGACTTTGCAGACTCAACATAATGCTCCTTCCTTAATTGGTCATCTTCTTCTTCATCATCATCTTCATCTTCTTGTGATTCCTTGTGATCGAATACATCGTCTGTACCTTGACCTAAATCGTGATCTTCAATGTCGAAATCGGATTTCGGGGTGTATAACTTGGATATCTGTTCTGCTAATGTCTTCTTGGCCATTATCGGTTATATTATTTTATTGTTTGAATGTGTTGATCCAGGTTGTTTGAATATTTAGTAAAAATTATTTTATATTTTTTTTCGAAATCTCATCGCTCTCTTCCAACTAAAGTAGAATCGTTTTTGTCGCGACATTCATAGTTTTTTGCGATACATATCACATGATCAATAGTTTATGGATTAGAGTCAGGGCATCATTGTAATCTACCATCTTAACTCATACACATATAATAAACTCATACGATGATCTTTGCAATAGTACATAAATCCATCTAAGAGCAGGCTATGTTACTCATCCCACATGGATGAGTTCTAGAAGGAATACGGTTTTTGTTTTTTAAGTTATTCAAAATTGCAATATTGGTTGCAAAAATAAACTATAAAACAGCAAACATTGGGTTAACATTGCCTATACACTAAGTAGAATACTTCTGAACCAAAGGAGAAATGGGTGTGTCTTATGTTTTCACAGTATTGTCGTCTGGTGTCACGGATCTTATCCTATGTCAGCTAAACGTTGTTTATTTTCATTTCTAAGGTCAATAACAACCGGAAATGTGATCGTGTTAAGAAAGGTGAAACAATTTACCAGGACAAGGAATTTGCCACAACTTCCAATATTGTGGTTTATGCAAGGTACGGAGTTAATGTATAGAATATACCTGTCCATTTAGTAAAGGTGATACACCCTCTTTGCCATGGGATGCGACATTTTTTTGCAACCTTCACCCCTCAAAAACAAGCAACTCATAACTTGCCACAACTTCAAATTTTGTGGAGTTTATACTTTATGCAAGTTACGGAGTTAATGCATAGACTACATGCGTCCAGTTAGGAAGGGTAATTCTTGCTCCATGTCAACGGATGCGACATTTTTGCAGCCTTCACCTCCCAAAAACAAAACGCAATTTACAATTACAATTGCAACTTCCATTTTGTGGTTTATAAGTTATGCAAGTTACGGAGTCAATATACATAGCCTATGCATGACACATCGGATCGACTATTAGGGTTCTGTTTTCTTATATGAACGCAAGTGAGTTGCATAATTCCGTCTTTTGGAGACACAAAGTTTGAGTCCATCTTGGTGGAGGGACCAGCAATGGACAGTCCACGCTGGACCGTGTTCCCTCTATAAAAGTTCTATAGGCGTTTTTCCGTGTCGGCTCTCAGTCTATATTTTCTATGAACTGCATTTTGCTATAAGGTAGTTTCTCCCTTGCTCGACGTTAGTTTTGTTCCATTAACTACAATCGATGACATTCCTCCTATAGGAAATAGTAAATTTTCTATATCCATTAACAGTAATAAACGCTCATATTGTTCCAGCATAAGAACTAATTGAATTCTCATTATGACTGCATCATGCTGACCTACTTGTTGTGAAACCCGATTCATCTTAACATTTGTTCTTAGATAAAAAGATGGAGCATGAAACTTACATCATTTGTGGTTTGAATGAAAAACTGCCTGTCTAAGCATCCAAAGAAACTCCCAGTCCTCCCCTTCATTTTGAGAACAATTGTGAACTTTGAAGTTGTATTTAAACTAAGTGTTGGCAGTATCTATTTCTTGAAACCTTAATACAGCGAGTAAATGCCGGGTAACACTCTTATTAGATTGGACTTCATAGTGTGGATTTCGCAGTTAAATAAAATCAAACACAACCCTTTACCGTAGCATTCAAGCTAAGATGAATAGAGCCATCATCATCTTCTTTATTGAATCGACCATCTCTTAAGTGAAAGATTCAGTAACCATCCAAGAAAAAATAGAAGGTTTAAAATCTTAAAGTTAGATTTCCCAAGAAACTTTATCAAAATCAAAAGGAAGGGTCCAAACAGATGGTTTAAATCCATAGAATCAATAATCATTTTTATATTTAGGGTATATAGTGATTTTTAATCCTATTGTTTGATTATAGATTTCTTGTATCCAATGTATTATTATACAAACGCGTGTTTTACATATATGTCTCAGTATGTCACGTCACTGAATGGGTTTGACACATTTATTCTTTTGCATGTCACTCCCTTTTTTTTTTCTTGGTGTTCTTTTTAATTGCTGTTTCAAATTGTTTTCTCTTAAAAGGTTGAATAGTAGCTATTGAAGTTCCTTCTTATATTAATCTCCTGTTTGTCATTCAATAAGTAAGTACAGTTAGTAATCATCCACTCGCTTAAACTTTATAATTTTCTGGGTAAACAACGCACACAATAATCAACCACAAGCCTATTCCACCTGTTCCCGAGGCAACATACATCTACTATACATATACAAAGTAAGAACACAAAACAAGAGGCAGAAATGAAACTATATCAACTAGTAATCATATTATCTTCATTATTAAGCTTATCAATAGCATTAGCCGATCAAGATGATGGTGGAGATGCAACCACTACCAAAGTATTACCCACAATTGTCTGGGTAACCACCACTATTGATGGAGCAGTCCAGACAGTATCTTTGACATATTCACAATCATTTATGACAGAAGCTGCTGATGGAAATACTGCAGTTCCTTCTGGAGAGATTGGAATGGGAACCTTATCTGGTAGTGTTGGTGGTATTAGAAGTTATGATCAGACTACTATTACAAATGTTAATCAAGGAGGAGGATCGGGTATAAATATTTATACTGGTGTTATTGGAGGGTTATTTATGGTATTAGGATTGATTTAGGTTTATATTTTATATAGTATTATAAACATTCATATACATTGTATATATAAGCATACTATGTATCATAGTAAGGGTTCATACATTTGTTAGTACTGTAATTTACACGGGTTTTAATACTAGTCTGTACTGATATTTACTTAGTAAAAAAATATTCCCATCTGAAAACAACAAAGAGAAAAAAAAATTGAGAAAAGCGTTTAAGATTTTACAACGAACGCATTTGATTTGAACATAGAAAGGATCACTGTAAGCGTAGTGTATGTATTAAACACAAACAGAACAAACCCCAAGGGATATATCTCTGTGAATATTGTGTACTAACAGAAACCCATAGAAAAATGTCTGACGATTTAGCTCAAAAAACTGAAGAATTATCATTAGAATCCAAGACTGTTTTTGATACAAAGGAAGAATTTACTGCTAAACATCCTTTAAATAATAGATGGACTTTATGGTATACAAAACCACAAACCAACAAGAGTGAAAACTGGCATGATTTATTAAAACCAGTTATTACTTTTTCATCAGTTGAAGAATTTTGGGGAATTTATAATTCAATTCCACCAGCAAATCAATTACCATTAAAATCAGATTATCATTTATTTAAAGAAGGAATTAGACCTGAATGGGAAGATGATCAAAATGCTAAAGGTGGAAAATGGCAATTTTCTTTTACTAGAAAACATGAAGTTACTCCAATTATTAATGAATTATGGTTAAGAGGTTTATTAGCTGTTATTGGTGAAACTATTGAAGATGATGAAAATGAAGTTAATGGTATTGTTTTAAATATTAGAAAACAAGCCTTTAGAGTTGGAATTTGGACTAAAGATTGTGATGATTCTAAATTAAAGACTGTTGGTGAAAGATTAAAGAAAATCTTACAATTAAAGGATGAACAAAAGGTTGAGTTCTGGTCTCATGATGCTTCAAATACAAAGGGTGCTGAAGCTCAAATTATCTTGTAAGGGAATACTACGAACGAGCAACAACAACAGCAACAGGTCATATAAATAATATAATCTTCTTCTTCTCTGTATACATACTATAAAAAATAAAGTAAAAGTAAAAAGTTATCATAATCCTATTGGATTAACATTCTCTTTAATGAATTCATGAATATATTCCCAATATCTTTCTTGAGCAACTGTATCATTATGACTTGAATCTTCAAATTTATACATTTGTTTAACATCACTATTTAACAAATCAAATATGACATCCATATGTTCAGGTGGGACAATTTCATCTTGTCTTGCACTTAATAATAAAACAGGAATATTTGCTGGAATCTTGGGGACTAATTTCTCCAGTTCCCAATGTTGATGAACAAACATGGTGAAATATTTTAAAAATGGAAATATATGAGGTATTGTCTTTTTGATTGATAAAAATGCATTTTCTAATATGATTGCATCTACAGCAGATGGCATTTTCGATGCAATATATATCCCCACCGCTGACCCTAAAGATCTTCCATATAAGATTAATGATGATTTTGAAAATTGTTCATCTTCTTCACAAAGATATTTCATAACTCTATCAGCGTCTATTTTTAATCCAATTTCCGAAGGTTTACCAGTAGATTTCCCATATCCTCTATAACTATATATGAATACATTATATTTAAATTGTCGATAAAATAATGCTACGATTGGTAATGCAAATCCAATATTACCAGCATTTGGACATAAGATAAGCACAGTTTTGTTGGAATAATTGGAAGATTTTGAATCATGCTTTAACAGATAACATTGTAATGTTTCACCATCTTCAGTCTTGAGATTAACCAATTCATATGGCATTTCATATTGATCAGGCGTTGGACAATTTGTTCTTGAATCTCCGAGGTTTGCCGGATAGATTATTGATGTTTGAAAATGATATAAACCAGCTAATGCAAGAGCTCCTAATGATATTCCAATTGTTGCCATGATTTTTGATATCTTGAAAAGACTTTGGATCATTGTCTAGCGATGGCCCAATGATATATGAAAGGGGTAATTATACAAACCAATTGAGAAATTGATTGTTGATAGATATTTCTCGAGGGAAACGATTTTGTCAATATGCTGAGATCTTTCTTTTTTTTTTCTTCCTTCTATGATCTGATATCTTTGTGCATAGACCAAAACAATGGTTGTCTTCGTCTACACTGTTTACAAAAGTAGATACTTAGAAGTAACTCAATCAATCAGAGTATTCTTGAGTATGATGAAATTATATTCTTCTTATAACTATAGAGAGAAGATAGATGTTAAATTCATCACAAGAGCCCCGGTGTTGTTGATAGCACATTTGTATTGGTCATAGAAAATTATGATTGGTTAATTTGCTGATTTACTTCTTTGACTCGTTATTCGCATTGATCGGAAAGTATAAGACTTCTTCTCTTCTCGTCTTTCTTTTCATTAAAGGTTCTTCTACCACTTCTTTTGGGGCATCTTGTGGTTAGTCGTAAATAAAAAGCTTGTTGGTTTTTATTTGGTGCGAACTTTTATTTAAATTCAGCAACCCCATCTTTACATCCCCCCACAGGTAAGACTACCAAACATTGGGTAGTTACATAGATAACACATACATACTCATAGATAGATAGACAAGGTAACATAATGTCACTGGGTGGAAGTGGAAGTGGAGGAATTGGAACTAGTCAACTGAATCTAGCAAGATTTGCATTTAATATTTATGGTACTTTAAATACATCACAATCAAATGACGGTTCTATATCACCACAATCTTCATCTACAGCAAGTTCTTCAAATAGATCAACAAGACAACATTCACAACAAGAACAGACTTTCTTAAATTATGATAAATTGGTTTATAATTGTGAACGAGAAACAGTTGCTTTATCACAATTGAATTATCCTTTACAACCATCAAATTATAGTGCAATTACAACAACCAGCAATCATCATAATGAAATGAAACATCATGTGGTTATTGGTGGGAAGAATTATTTACGATTATTATGTCTTAATGAAGATCAAAGGAAAATAGTTCAAGAAATCAATTTAACTGATCTGCTGTCAAATTCAATCTATACTTCAAGAGTACCGAATAAATTATTCAATATCAATACGGTGAAAACATTCAATGATATAATAGGATGTGGATTATCAAATGGTTTAATCAGTATCTACAAAATATCTCCCAATGGTAAAAGTAAAATAGTCAATAAATTCTCCGATCATAAACGTACAGTAAATTCATTAGATTTTATCGAAACTGAAAATCAAGTCCTTTCAGGGTCTCAAGATGGGACAATTAAATTATGGGATTTAAGATCATCATCCTCAAAACCAATGTTAACATTACAAGCAAATCTTCATTCAGATCCAATTAGAGCATGTCAATATTCTCCTCATTCTTCAGTTAGAAATAAGATTTGTGTCCTTTCTGTTCATGATTCAGGGGCATTATGTAAATTTGATCTTAGATCAAGTGGTGGTGGTTCCAATTCAAATTTCCAAAATATGTATAGTCCAGATAAGAAATGGAATTTACATTCAGGTCCGGCATTATCATTACATATCCATCCTGAAAAAGAATATGTATTGACTGGTGGACGGGATCATAAGATTTGTGTATTTAATTATGGGGAAAATCAAACTAATGTGGCGAATAGAACATCTCCGGACCATATGATAAACACTTATGGACCGATATTGAAAGTGAGATGGAGTACTTATCCTTTGTCTTCGTATAGTCATCATCCATTTGATGAATTTCAAGAGACAGGTTCCAGTACTAATCCGTTATTTAATTATGATATTGCTTGTCTGTATTTAAATGATGATTCTACAATAACTGTCTATAATTTAAGTCGGAAATATATCCCAAAACAAATAATTCGATCTATTGGTTGTAAACCAATTCAAAATTTTATATGGACAAAGAATCATATGAGATCAAGACAGATTTGGTCCATAACTAAAGCAAACATATTCACATCTTATGAATTAGATAATGTCTTGGATCCAGATATAAGAAGACCATTGAATGAATTATCAAGTGTTTCTATGTCTTGGAATAATAACCTTGGAGATTTATGTTTTGTCAATCAAAATAAGGATGATTTTGAATTGGGTGACGATAATGATTCTTTAATCACCATTAGTGAAATGGACCCTCATCATTCTCAACAACAAGAATTTGAATCGAGTGATATGATACTAGAAAGATCACATACACATAGTCTAGAAACTACTATGGAAAATGATATGGAATTAACCAAAAGTAATCTGGTTGTGGGTATGCAATCATTCACAACTTCATTAACTACTTCTCCCGTGGAAAAGCCACCATTATTCCGATCTTTCACTCATAATCCAATGCATAATTCCGCCACTACCAAAACACCATCTCCTATCCCCGTATATAGAACAACAACAACCACACCCGGAATGAACCTTATGCAACAAAATGAATCAACAACTTCTAGTTTTGGTGGAATCCTAAGACCAAAGCTAAATCGAAATTCATCTCAAGCTACTCAAGAATCAATAGTATCATTAGGATCTACCCCACATCAACGATATACCAACGCTAAGCCAACCTCTTCTTCACAGGGACAACAAAATCTAATTAGCTCGCCTTATGTGATACCATTTTCGTTACCAATTCCTGCTAATGATGAATTTGTTTTCCGTTTCCTTTCCGCCAATTATATGGTGAACATCCCCGATGGGTTCAATTTAGTGGATGTATGTTTGTTTAATGCGAATTCGGCAGCTAATGCCGGTAGTTATAGGACTTGTCAAGTTTGGAGATTGTTGGCTGTAAGTATAGAAGAGGACTATATCCAAGAGAAACATACTGCTCAGGAACAAGAACAACAACAACAACAACAACAGGATGGAACGGCAAAAACTGAGATCGTGGTGAGTGAAGTCGCTGAAAAAGAAACCAGATCAATCCTGTCGGAATTAGGTAATTTCGTGGGGTCTTACAATTCAACTCTGACTACTGGATATGGAGGTTCGGGGTCTACGACCGGTAAACAAGGAGGATCAACTGATGAATCTGCGATACATGATCGAAAACTTATGCCTGGTGAAGCTGAAGAAGATGAAATGACAAGTAATGATATAAGTATAGCTGGATCATCGTCTGATCCCGGCACTCGAAGTCGAACTAATAGTCTTTCAAATTTACGATTAGTTGCATCACCAAATTCGGCCAGTCGAGAAGACGTAGATAATGGAGAAGAAGATCTAATTGATGAAGTCATATCTGAACCTGGTGTCGATGAGATGTTGAGTCGTTCGGCACCGGTACTGATTATGTCAATCCCACAACGAAGTAAGACAAATGAAGATATAGATGATGAGAATCTTAATCTTATTAAGAATACATTATTGGGTACTAGTCCTTCTGGGACTCCGGGGCTATCGGGACGTTCCAGTCAGACATTTTCTAGTATTGCCATTAGTTCATCTCCACAATCGTATCATGCCTTTCCTCCCAAATCGATTCATACGACTAAAACAAGAACGAATGCTCTGGGTGAATTTTCGGCATTGAAATCGGGTTTATCGATGGCATTGAAGGAACGTGATGGAGAAGAGGATCATGATGTAGAGAAGGAGAAGGATCATACTGAAAAAGATTGGAAGTTTACTAATTTATTAAGAAAGGTATTGGATTATGCATTGTTGCAGGGAGATATTGTATTTGTTGCAACTGTTGTTTTGATATTTTATGATATTTGTCCTGGTACTATTACACAAGAAGAATGTTTGGATTGGTTAAGTATATATATTGATATTCTTCAACGGAAAAGATTGTTTATCAATGCTGCAAATGTATTAAATTCTGCTCCATTGCTGGTTCTAGAGATTTTGAAGAATGTTTATTCGGTTGATTTAGATTTACGTCTTTATTGCACTTGGTGTAGAAAATTATTAGTGAATGAAAAATCCAAGAGAGCAGGAGGAAACTTTGGATATTGGTATTGTGACGAGTGTTCCAAGACTCAAATGAATTGTGTTTATTGTTGTGAGCCATGTAAAGGTCTTGGTGTGGTTGTTAGTTTAAAATGTGGACATCGGGGACATTTTGGATGTTTGAAAGAATGGTTTATTGAGGATGAAAATATAGAATGCCCTGGTGGGTGTGATTTCTCTATTCTGTAATATTACAATATATTTATTTATAGTTAATTAATTATATTAACACTATATCTCCTAGTTCTATGTATTTCCTTACAAGTCGATATCTCACCACATAGATCCCATCTTTATTTAGTTCTAAATTATCTCCTTCTCCGATATCCAAAAATATTGGGGTCTTGGAGTTTGATTTAATAAATACCGGTTGATCTAAATCTGGAGCAACAATCATCGATTGTCCACCACTAGTATCATCTAATAATGTAAGTGAATGAGGTAATTTCTTAAGGAAACAATTGTTATATAATGAAGTCAACAATTTGAAATATTTATGCATATATTGCATCTCTTCAACTGATAATAATCTTCCCTTTGAATCTTCATCTTCTGCGCTGGTTTCATTAATGTAAAATATCGTAAATTGACCAATCTTGGATAATCGTGTTCGTAAATATAATCGTACTAAATAATTCAATCTTTCAATATCAGTCTCAATAATCATTAATTGTAATTTGAAATCACTTGATACTACTCCTGCTTCCGAATTCATATCTCCATATTCATGGGAATCTAAAAGATATTGTTCCTGGTTGGATATTTGTGTTAGAACGGTGTCCATTAGATGTTTTTCATAGGGTAAGATCTCTGGGGACATTCTTTCATTAATCATAGCTGTGATTAATTCTTGATAGATATTTGTCGTGGATTTTAGTTTGGAAGTAGTGGTTGTATCATCTCTGGATATTGACGCTTCTTCTTCGAAGTCTAATAAGATATCATCGATGTTCTTATCTCTACTCATCTTCACTTTGTCTAACTGTCTGATTGTAGGGCTGTATTCACCGTATGATGATGTTGAGAATTTCTCCGAAGTGGAAGAAAAAAAAACAAAGAGTTGATCCGTTCCTCAACATCAATAAACTACCGACACATACAAAAAAGGAAAACCCACCCCTCCAATATCAGGACAGGATATAGATAGACATTGAAAATGGATCGACAGCAGATATTGGAGTTAAAGAGACAAAGGCTTCAGGAATTGAAGCAGAAAAGAAGTCTTACAGTTACGCCGACGAGTGAACATCGTGATGGAAGTATATCACCTCGCCTTCCATTGACAAAACGACTAGTAGATGCTTCTACTCAGACTAGCGGTGAGTTTACAGTTGATAGAAGTTCCAATGTAAGAAGTCACGAGGAAGCTTCTGAACAAGATAGAGATGAAGTGTTGCGTTATGAAAAGGCAGTACAAACAATAGAAGTGATTGACTCTACTCAGTTGGAACCAAAAGTAGACGAAACAACGAATCATCAATTGATACATAAGCAAGAAGTCTCAGAAACTGAGCTAAATGAATCAATTGCGGCTTCCATCAAATTATTAAACAAATTGAAAATAAAGCATTCGATAGATATACAAGATGATAACGAGAAAACTAGTGGTATAAACCTAGACAAAGATTCACAAGGTTGTATCAAGACAACATGTCAATTCCATGGAGAAACTAGAAGTATAAGATATATTGACATATCTCCATTTGATTGCAACATGGTTCTCATTGCATATACCTCTACACCACAATCTTCATTTAATGCAATTGTGTATAATATTGATTCAAAACTGGTATTTGCTGAATTCTTCTTGTCGTCAATCTCTTCTGAGATTAACATTATTAAATTTGATAAATATAATCAAAATAGAATTATTGGAGGGTTAGATAATGGTAGTATTGTTATTTGGGAATTGTACACCAAGACAACTCATACTCATAAAGCTTCACCTATCATAGCACCAACATTACAAACACCCTTGTTTTCAACAACTTCATTAGATGTCATGAGGAATTCAAATATCATCCACCATTCCCATCAACAGCAACAACACAATTATGAACCTCACGTAGAACCAATTGTATACTTACAACAACTCAAAATTGATGGGAATGATTGCATAGTTTCAATCTCACGAGATGGGATCATAAACAATTGGTCAAGTAATTTATTAGTCGTACCTCGTGATACTACAATCCAAGTATTTGAGAATAATAGAATTGGGGCAAATATTTCCATTGAACATGCATATGGGATACGACAAGACGGATTGGTAAGTGGTAGTTCATATATACAGAATTTATTATTGGGAGGTAATAATGGTAAGATATACCGTGCATCTAATGACAAGGATGGGCAATTTGTACCTGTTTGTCAAACAACTGTCGGAGCCGGTGGTATGGGTACTGTTATTACCTCATTTGCATATTTCGAAAATCATCAAAATTCATATATAATATCTTCCCATCTCGATTGGAACCTTCGATTATGGCAGATGAATTCGTCCGAAGAGGAGCATGAATTAAGGAAAATCCCAGTGGCATACATTGTCAAGAGTTTGTTAGTTAGACCGAACAGGAGACATCAATTTGTTACTATGGGATATCTTTCCATTGATGATAGGGATTCTAAAACAATAATTGATCTATGGGATTTGGAAAGAAAAGCGAATACGCCGATCTTGAATATTACAAGAGATTTACTTAGAGTTAATTGCATTTCATTCTCGCCAGATGGCAATGAGTTATATGTAGGTAAACTTGATGGAAGTTTTACTAGATTAGAAATTGATGATTCCAAGATCGATAACGAGATTGTTGAGAATGCATATGATAAGGGAATCGCATTATAGTATTAAAATATACAGTGTCTAATTATACAAGTTTGCATTACAAAAAGTTACTAAATAATCTATCTCTTGACCTAATTGTGATATCATTCACAATGTCTGTTTGATGTGGATTTTGTTCGATTTGAATACAATCATTAGTAGCAAGCACTAACAATTCAAAGAAACATTTAGTAGCTTCCCTTCTTTTGTTAATCCTAGCCCCATCTCTTTTATTAACGAGACCCAATGGTTGTTTCTCGAAGTCTTTATCATTTATCCTCAAATCTTCATCCATTAAGGTTTGTAAATCGACTGTATCGTTTGTTTTGAATAAGTCTCTTAATTCATCAGCTACTTGGATAGTTGCCTTGGCGATATTATCCACAGTATAGGAATCATCCTGTTGTTCCTCTTCTTCTTCAATGACAGCATCTAAAGCATGATTTTCTTGTTCTTCTTCGTCATTGAAATCAGGTAAGGACAAATCGAAATCCATTTCATCTTCATAGTCATGACTGAATTGTAAATCATGTTGTTCTTGTAATCTAGTTTCTTCACGTTCAGATAATTCAAGACATCTCGTTTGTAATTCAAGATCAATATCCCATAACTTCCTTCTCTTGCTTGAAGAATTATTAGGTGTAGCTAATTCTTGAATTAATTTGAGCTTTTCATTTAAGGAAAGATTCAAAGAGATGTATTTTGGTTGTGAGTCAGCATTAAGCAATAATTCCTGATTACGTTTTAATGTTTCAATTGATATACCTTCGAGATCTTCTGGAGAATCAACGATTAATTTTCTCTTGTTGGTGATGATCTCTCCTTGTTCAGTAATACCTGTTCTTCTCTTCCTAACACGTTTTGGTTGTGGCTGGGGTTGTGGTACTTCAGTTGGAGTCAATGGTTCTTCAGGACCATCACTGTTATCACCAAAGTCCAATTCATTGTCCATATCATCAACAGTTTCCAAGGGTTGTCCAAAATCAAAATCAAAAATATCAGTATCCTTACCAATATTTGAAAATATAGATACTTCACGGTCATTATCATGTATTTGAGACGCGTTTCTACCCACTTCAATAGAATCATCACTTAAATCGAGATCGAAATCCAATTCCAAATCCATATCTTCATCATTTCCAGCCCCTGGGGTTGCTGCATCTTCATAACGAGGGAATTCAATAGATTGATCAAATGTATCGTCTTCATCTCGTTGTTGTTGAGTTCGCTGACTGAAAAATCCTCCAATATCATTAGAACCAGGTTCATCAACATCATCAAGGTTTAAATCATCTTGATATAATAAATCGAATTTTGTAACTTGATCAGCTAAAGTAATTGTGTTTAAATTGGTAATGACTGTTTGTTGAGGTGGCAAATTGATTTGATTGGTGATACCATCTGAACCTAATCTTGCACCACTTGATAATTTAAATGAAGATTTTAATTTATATAAAATATCATTAACGTCTTCTAATAGATATTTAGTCTTTCTTGAATATATTCTTACTATTCCTAATAACAATTGTCCTGATAGTCTTAATGTTATTGGTTCATTTGTTTGTTGTGACTGTTGTGATTGTTGTGAAGAGTATGTGATTGGATGGTTGGATAAATATTCGGTTGATTTGGCAATACTAGTACTCATCAATTGTTGTTTTGTAAGTTTCTTGTCATAATTGGCGGCTAACCAAACATGACCCAATGGGCCCTGTTTTGACATAATGGTATCTGTAAGCATATTTTCTAATTAAAAACTAGTCTCCACTAATTGAATAAACCTTGAAAAGAAGAAACTAATAAGTATAATGAGTATTAAATTGAAAACATAAAAATTTGAAAATATGAATTTGAATGAAATGAAGGGAATACGCGAAATTTTTAAAACGCATAAAGAAATACGCGTTTTTTTAATTTTTTGTGTAAACAAAACAAAACACCGAGATCTTTCCTTTGAAAACTGTGGCACGTGATTACTTTAAACGGATTTGGCTCGGTTTTAAGTAATTCCCCATATCTCCTAGTTGATCTGCCAACCAGTAATTAAACTGTGGGAAATGTGAATCTTGATGTATAGATATTCCTGGAACCAGTTTCTGAGATCTCTGATAAAAGGGTTGCATGCTTGTCCAATTTAATCCTCGTCGGGATTGGCCAATCAATAAACCACAACACAGGTGGTACGGCTGATTTTCAGCCATACATGTATACGCTTCCTAAAGCTTATTGGATGTCTTTGGCTAGCTAAAAAGTGTTTGATGTTTCTTCTTATATTGAAAATATCGAGTCTTATAATGCAATGTATGTCGCACTGATTGGCTTCGGTGTAACGATTGCTCGATGGAATAGAAATCAAACAAATGCTATCTCTAATGGCTTACTGTTGTAAGCATGACGTGTCATGGAAGGCTTGTTATCAAATAACGTTCGCATGAATTCCAATGGTATTTCTGTGCGTACTACTTCTTGTGATGGTGCGGCGTGACCCTGATTTCCAAAGGGTTATTGGGAATAGACAAGGAATTTTCATCTGATTTGGAAGTGTTTATTACATTCACAATTGTAAGGCAAGAAGTTTCATCTGCCTTTAGATTCTCTTATATTGTAGTATTCACTTCAAGACATGAATTCATGTTCCGGTTGATGTGCCGATTATTAGATTTCCTAATTGGGAAGGAAGTGTCAGTCAATCCGTCACCCAATTTTTTTTTCTGTCACTGTTTCTTTTTGATTGCTTGTTACAATTTGACACCGACTATACTTTACATTACCATAACCCAATAACAATAATCATTCTGCATCCATCATAATCCAATAAGCAATCATTCTGCATCCATCACAATCCAATAAGCATTCACCATGTCAGCCAATCTTCAAACTAAACTTGACAATTCATTATTGGACATTCTTAAAACATCAG